AAATATGAGAAACCTGACAATAAAACTGCGAATTCCGTTAAGGACTGATAAAATCATTTGCCCTTGTTCCCTCCTAATAATTGGTAGGGTTTGTTTTTGTTAACTCAGAACATACGAATAGTAAGTACTGCTGAGATACTGACAGGTACAAACTCAACAAACTCTCAGCTTCATGAAAAGACAAATTATCTGAGAAATGACTTGCCAGATGCCTTGCTTCTCCTCTAAATTCCTTCCTACTTTTGCTGTTTAGCAATTTCACTGAGTAAGAAACCTCCAGGGAAGGATAAGGCAAAGGGCAGGAACCAGAGATGCCACTATTTGTTTCTCTTTGGCAGTATTAATTAAAAGTTCTCCTGGTTGGGCGCCTGGGTGGCTCAGTTGGTTAAGCAACTGCCTTCGGCTCAGGTCATGATCCTGGAGTCCCGGGATCGAGTCCCGCATCGGGCTCCCTGCTCGGCAGGGAGTCTGCTTCTCCCTCTGACCCTCCTCCCTCTCATGCTCTCTGTCTCTCATTCTCTCTCTCTCAAATAAATAAATAAAATCTTTTAAAAAAATAAAATAAAAAATAAAAGTTCTCCTGGTGAAGAAGACAGACTAATGGCTGAAAGGAAATGTGAGGACCAGCTGTAGACTTTAGTCACCAGTATAACAGACTATTAAGATCTGACCGCATCATCTTATTTTCTTCCTGGCATGTCATTATCCTTTTCATTAATCTGCTTACCTGTTTATTATTTCTCTCTCCTCCCCGCCCCCACAGCATGTAACCTCCTTAAGAACAGGGATCCCACTTGTCTTGTTCACTGCTATATTGTTGCCATCTAGAACAGCCTGGCACACAACAGGTATTCAATAAAGAGCCAGCGTTGGGGTGGGGGGGGATACATAATCATTACTTAACTATCTCAGGCCCTGCACAATCACAAATACACTGAAATTATTTTTCACTGGAGACTATTCTTTACCTATAATGTATAATAATAATTCCACTACTGCCTTGCCACAAGATTCTATGCCTAAGTTTTACTATTTAAATATCATATTTGGATCTTGCTCTTGCCATGTGCTGTTGTTGGAGGACCCTCCCTGCTTCAGATTTACCCACAGCATGAATCAAGAAAAGTTAGCCAAACTTCAGGCTCAGGTCCGGATAGGGGACAAGGGTACAGCTCGCAGAAAGAAGAAGGTGGTACATAGAACAGCTACAGCTGATGACAAAAAACTTCAGAGTTCTCAAAAAAACTGGCTGTGAATAATATAGCTGGTATTGAAGAGGTGAACATGATTAAAGATGATGGGACAGTTATTCATTTCAACAACATTTCAACAAAGTCCAAGCTTCCCTTTCTGCTAACACCTTTGCACTTACTGGTTATGCAGAAGCCAAACCAATCACAGAAATGCTTCCTGGAATATTAAGTCAGCTTGGTGCTGACAGCTTAACAAGTTTTAGGAAGTTAGCTGTACAGTTCCCTCGGTAAGTGTTGCATAGCAAAGCACCAAAACCAGAAGACACTGATGAAGAGGATGATGATGTTCCAGATCTCGTAGAAAATTTTGATGGGGCATCAAAGAATGAAGCTAACTAAAATTGTTTCTGGAGTTTGGAAGCTGGCATGGACTAGATTTAACAAATCAGCTATGTGGTTCCAAACTTTTACAGACATGGAGAACATCAACTGTTACTAGTTCAGTAATATAAATATTTTGTATATTAATAATGCTGTTTGTTCAGCATTTTTTGGTCATTTGATTTTGCATTTTGCACTTCCTCCCAGGATCTATTCTTTTGGTCAAAATATGACGTATCGGTGCAGTTTGAGGATGTTTTGGTGTTTGATTCTCAGTTTTCTGTTTTGTTTTTTTGTTGGGGTATTTTTGGTGTGTGTATGTTTATGTATGTGTGTGGGTATGTGTGTATACAGTGGAGAGCAAATTGGAAAACAGTTCTATTATCCTCCTTCTTCCCCCAGTAGAAAATAAAACAAATCTTTACATTTGGAAAAAATAAAATATCATATCTGTCTCAAAATATAATAATTGTGATAAAACTATTACCTGACTAGTCTCAATTTCTGAGAACAAGAACTTTTATAATTCACTTTCATATCCCAAATATGTAGAATGGTACACAAGTACAGATATTCAAATACGTGAACAAATGAGTTTAAAAGAATTTTAACTGGGGCGCCTGGGTGGCTCAGTCGTTAAGCGTCTGCCTACGGCTCAGGTCATGATCCCAGGGTCCTGGGATCGAGCCCCGCATCGGGCTCCCCGCTCGGCAGGAAGCCTGCTTCTCCCTCTCCCACTCCCCCTGCTTGTGTTCCTGCTCTCGCTATCTCTGTCTCTGTCAAATAAATAAATAAAATCTGTAAAAAAAAAAAAAAAAAAAAAAAAAAGAATTTTAACTGGTGGCATTATTAGCCATTTTCTATTTTCTTTGCATAGTTTAGGATTTCCTAAATTTTCTACACCTAGCATTCCTGTAATTAAAAAAATAGTGTTAGAAGAAAAAAGGAAACCACTGTACCCTTATGCCCCAATGTTCTTGATAATGTATGCAACAAGGCAAATCAAACAGATTTACTGTTTGCTTCCTAAGAGTTATCAGATAGAAAAATATTCTTTAAAAAAGAAATACTGCGATATTAAAAATGAATTTGAAATATTTTTAAGAACATTAAGCTTTATCTTCCAGAAAGATATCCTTTCATAAACCCTAGTGTACTTCAAGAGTAATTTCTTTGTTTTTTATCTTTTTATTTTATGTTTTTTTAAGATTTTATTTATTTATTTGACAGAGAGAGACACAGCGAGAGAGGGAATACAAGCAGGGGGAGTGGGAGAGGGAGAAGCAGGCTTCCCGCCAAGCAGGGAGCCTGATGCGGCCCGATCCCAGGACCTGGAATCATGACTTGAGCCGAAGGCAGACGCCCAATGACTGAGCCACCCAGGCACCCCTCTTTGTTTTTTATTAACAGAACTATTTTCCTTTCAAATAACCAAAAGAGTAATTTGTTATGGAGACATAAGGAATGCTGTACTATGAATAAACATTTTAAGAACTACTTAATAATCTACTTTGCTTTCTCCAGCACCAACTTTGATTTATTGCCTCTGGTGAACCCAAACTATACTAAAGAAAATTCAGTCACACTGTCATATTTAGAAAGACTAAAAAATCATACTGAACAGCTTCATAACACGTAAACCCTTTACAATAAAAAAAAATTAACACAATATACATTAGTTCAAAGTTAATTTTGATGTTTAATAGATTTTATCATCCTTCTATATCCTGCAAAATGGATTCACTGAAATTTTTAGTCCTTTCTGTAAATAGCTGCCATCTATTTAAAAAAAATCCAGACTCACAGAATAAATCTTGAAAGCTTTCTTACTGTTATTATATGCCTTTCAAAGGTAGAAAAATCATTCAAATGTGTTGACAAATGTACTCAATATACCAGGAAAAAGAAAAGGTCAGAAACCCAGAAAAATTATTTTTAATTTTTTAATAAACTCTGAAATTAGTCTATTGAAGTCTCAATTAATGTATCTCATCTATAATGAAAGCACAAAGCCTAAAATTAGAGAAATTAATGAGGCTAACAAATATTTCATATGAGATCTAATTGCTATGGATACTTTTGAAATCTTTTTAAATGGCCCTGACAGAATGGCCTTAAAAGTTATGCTCAGCAACTGACCACATGCATTACATATTTGTAATGAAGGGGCACAAAATGCAATCACCTGCACTCTGATAACTTGGCTTCTTCCCAATCATTTTATGTTTCAGTTTCAGCTAACCCTAGACTACTGATTGTTTCCATATTGGTGTCTCATAACTGTCAGAAACAAAAAGGACAGAGAAACTCACACTAGAATATATTACTAAGTATCATTTGAGAACTGTGTCCTAGCCTAATTACTGTCATCAGTCCCTCCAAATTAAATTATTCCATATATTTCAGCCCTTTTCCTCTTGTTTCCATAAGCAAAGTCTAAGAAATTTTGTTTGGACCCTTATCTTACACCATATTCAAACACTGACTTAGGTAGACTAAAGAACTGAAACTATAAAACTCCTAGAAGAAAACAGGGGGTAAGCTTCATGACACTGGATTTGGCAAGGATTTTTTTTTTGGCAAGGATTTCTTGACTACAACACCCAAATTATGAGCAACAAAAATAGACGACAGGACACACAATCACCTATATCACATCAAAGGACACAATTAACAAAGTGAAAAAGCAACTTAAGGAACAGGCGAAATATCTGCAAATAATGTACCCAATAAATGGTTAATAACTAGACTACATAAAGAACTTGTACTAATCAACAACAAAAATCAAATAGTCCAATTAAAAAATGGGCCAGGACTTGAATAGACATTTCTCCAAAGATGATCTACAAATGGCCAACAAACATAATGAGAAGATGCTCAATATTACTAATCATCAGAGAAATGCAAATCAAAAGCACAATGAGTTATCACTTCATACCCATTAAGATGGCTATAATCAAAAGCTACAATCAAAAAATAGAATAACAAGTGTTGGTGAGGATGTGGAGAAATTGGAATCCTTGTATACCACTGGTGAGATTGTAAAATGGTGCAGCCTCTATGGAAAAGAGTATAAGGGTTCTAAATAAATTAAAAACAGAATGGCCATATGACCCAGCAATCCCACTTTTGGTATTTAAAGAACCAGAATCCAAAAGAGTTGAAAGCAGGTGTCAAAAAGATATTTGCACATCCATGTTCATTGCAGCACTATTTGTAATAGCCAAGAGGTAGAGGCAACCCAAATGCCCATCAACAGATGGACGAATAAGCAAAATGTGGTATATACATACAATGGAATATTATTAAGCCTTAAAAAGGAAGAAACCCTGCCACATACTATAATAACATGGATGAACCTTCAGGTCATTATACTAGTGAAATAAACCAGTTACAAAAAGACAAATACTGTATGATTCTACTTACATGAGGTATCTGAAGTAATCAAATACATAGAAACCAGGCCCTAAGGGAAAGAGGAAACAGGGAGCTTTATTTAGTGGGTATAGTCTTAGTTTTGTAAGATGAAAAAGTTCTGGACATCTGTTGTACAACAATATGAATATACTTAACACTACTGTACACTTAAAAATGGTTAGGATGATAAATTTTGTTATATATTTTTTACCATAATAAAAACTGAAGCAGTGTAAAATACTTTTGTTAAATTATCATTTTTTATAAGGATTTTTTATTCATTTATTTTGACAGAGAGAGACAAAGCAAGAGAGGGAACAAAGCAGGGGTAGTGGGAGAGGGAGAAGCAGGCTTCCCGTGGAGCTGGGAACCCGATGCGGGGCTTGATCCCAGGACCCTGGGATCACGACCTGAGCCAAGGCAGATGCATAACGACTGAGCCACCCAGGAGCCCCTAAATTATTATTTTGATAAGATTCTTTTTACTTTACTTTAACCACTGAACATTTAGTGTCTGCATTGAGATATGCTTTAAGTGTAAAATATAACCAGATTCCAAATACTTAATAAGAAAAAAATGTCAAATACCTTACTTTTAGGTTGACTACATGTTAACACATTTTTAATATATTGCTTTAAATGAAATATAATGTTAAACTAAAAAACTATTGTGTTATTCTGTAAGAAGAATAACTAGAGGGGAATGTAGGGTCAGTGGAGCTTTGTTTTAAAGGTTTAAAAAGACTGGAGCATATTTAGGCTGGTACAGAAAAGCCAGCAGGGGGAAAGAGATTATAAACACAGATGGGAGTTAACTAACAAAAGCCTCTCCTGAGAGAGACTCTGAAGGATGGGATCAAGAGCACTGTGTGGAAAAGCTAGCCTTCCACAGATCTGAAATGTACATACATAAGCGGGTAAGGGAAAGGACAGAAACCTGAGAAATCAAATCAGATCATCATTAAGTGACCAGATTACTTACAGACTATAGAAATGGGGCTTGGACAAAAGGGTTTGTCAGTAATGAAGGTCTGGAATAACCCATGAGTGATGAAGAACACGTTCCTTATTTAGGGCCAATAAGGCCTCTATGATCTGGCCCTGCCTTCCTCCCTGGCCTGATCCCAGGCCTCTCTCTCCCAGCTCCCTCATTCATCTTCTCACCCTCCTTCAAAAGGCCATCCACCTGACTGCTTTTCTTTTCTTTTTCTTTTTTTTAAGAGTTTATTTATTTATTTGACGGAGAGAGAGCACACAAGCAGGGGGAGCGGCAGGCAGGGGGAGAAGGAGAAGCAGGCTCCCCGAGGAGCAGGGAGCCCGATGTGGGGCTCGATCCCAGGACCCTGGGATCATGACCTGAGCCGAAGGCAGATGCTTAATGGACTGAGCCACCCAGGCGCACCCCCCCAGCACTTCTTCTTTTGAGGAGAGTTTACCTGTGTAACACCTACTCAGCCAGGTATCTGTTCAAAGACAACTTCCTCAGGGAAGGTTTCAGGGACACGGAGCTCCCCAGAGACTAGTTCCCCTCACCAGTGCTACCTCACAGAAATAGGGTATGCTCCACACAGGTCATTTTAAATGTTCTTGTAGCCACATGAAACAAAACAAGAAACAAGTGAATGAGTTAATATTCTATTTAACCCAATATACCCAGAATTTATCATCTTATTTCAACATGTAAATATAAAAATTGAGATATTTTATCTTATGCTGATGCTAAATCTTCAGAATCTGGTGTGTACTTCACACTTATAGCACATCTCAATTCAGACTAGCCTCATTTGCGGGCACCTGGGGGGCTCAGTCAATTAAGTGTCCGACTCCTGGTTTCAGCTCAGGTCATGGTCTCAGAGTCATGGGATTGAGCCCCAAGTCAAGCCTGAGTCCAGCCCCGAGTAGGGCTCCATGCTCAGCAAGGTGGCTGCTTGAGATGCTTTCCCTCTCCCTCTCCTCCTTCTGCCCCTCCCTTCCCTCTCGGTATACACTCCCTCTCTCTGAAATCAACCAATCAGTAAAATCTTAAAGAAAACCAACCAACAAGAAGACTAGCCTCATTTCGACAGCCACGTGTGACTACAGTATTGGACAACATAGCCCTATACTATTTCTCCAGAGCACTTTGTTACTATAGTGGGTTTTATTACTTGATGAATGTCTATCTCGCCGGGAATGTACGCACTATTAGGATACCCCAGTGTTCTTAGCTCAGTGTCAGAGCACTCCGTAGGTGCCACATAAATATAACTGACTGGGGGAAATGGTAGGGAGGGGTTGTTTGAGAGACAATTAATTACCTGCATCTCGGGCCTGGCCTTTCACTGGTGTTACCAAAGCAACTCCGGAGAAAAGGCAGAGTTAATCAGAACAGGGATATTATCTGGCAGACACAGCACAAAAACAAGTTCAAGAGAGGCAGAGGTACCAGTAAAAGCATATTCCAGGTGCTTAACAAGGGCTGGATAGGGAAGACGACCTCGAGGCCAACAGATGTTAAAACAACAGGGAAGGGGAGGTGGGGTGGAATTAAGACATAGGCAAGCTGTCTCTGTCAAGAAGAAGGGCACTGTAATAGAAAGTGTGGGTGGGAGAAAGCGGGAAGGACAGGGTAGGAAGCTGGGGTCAGAGAACTGGATATATAAACTCAGGATTTCTGATGTGAAAAATTTGGAGGCATGTTAAAATACAGTGGAAGTGAAGATCACTGGAGGTGAGCAAAGGTACTAGAAGTGAAAGGCATTAGCCACCCTGCTTGGAATGACTAACTCCTTGACTGAATGTCTTTTAAGATTTTCAGCTGTACAAAGGCAGGGACAGTCTTTCATGGTCCACACAGCCCAGTGTTGATCACATCAAGTATGCTTACACGAATACAATTCAAAGCTCAAACATTAAAATCATGTGGAAGAAAAGTGGCAATGGTCACAACAATGAAGATGTAAGTGAAGGACTCCAATTTATTTGTTCAATATTTATGTAGTTTGATTGAACAGTATTAAGAATTCTGAATGATGCATTAATTTTTTAGATTGGTAGCCAAACTCTTAATTTGGGGGGTGGGGGATAGGAGGGCGGAGGAAAGGGTATAAATATTTCCCAGACTTACTTTACTTTTATCTATAAAACAAAGTAATAGCCAACAGAACCTTTAGAAGCTTTATTATAGTCAAGTACACCTTATTTTTGTGAGAGATACAGGTCCTCATAACTTGGTTATAAACATTTCTTACAATGGCTCCTATTACACACTTTAGGGCAATTTGTTATTTAAAAGAACTCTAAGATTACTGTTTCAATAAAGAGAAAAAATTAAAACCTCATTTGTTTTACATATGGAAGTGGTATGCTTTTTAAGTGGACACATGACTGTTTATAGCATATTTATATATATATAAAAGCACATCTATACTTGTGTGTATATTGTATATAGCTTTACTGGCTTATTGCCTATTTCCTGCACTTTTTTTCTATTTCTCATTTCTCTTACCCAGTCCAATTTTGAGCAAAAATAATTTTTCCCCCAAATAATTTCTCCACTGAGGGATTCTGATTGTCAGAAGTAATAGTACTAAACCTCAAGGCTGGAAAGATAAAGGTGTAAGCTATGTTTAAACCCTCTGCCCAAAAGACTTCTACTATTTTTTCAGCTTTTCTAATCAAGCAAGACTTCCAGAGTTTTGCTAATAACCGAGAGGACAAAGTTATGACACAGCTATTGTCTGTTCAACTCTGAACCAAACAATAACCCTGCCTAAGTCTGTTCCTCCCACCACACCCCTCACAGCTGTCAAAGGAAAATGTGAAAAAGGAGGGAATCATGTAAATAATTACAGTAGTAGGTACTACAGTCACTGAATTGGAAGAGCCATAAATTCTATTATAGTTGCTATATCTTCCTGTGGGTACATGAAGCGCTTTAGGCTTCCTTGCTGGCTCAATTCTCTTTTGTTTTCCCTCTGACCAACGACTGTTCCAAAGATTCAGAGAAATCTGTGAGCCAAGACTGATCAAAGCCAACGGATCCATTTCATTCATTCATGCATACATTACTATTTATGATTCTAAGCACTTGGGCATTTTTCAGTGAACAAAACTGATATGATCCCTGCTCACTTGAAGCATTCTCTCTAAAGAACAGATCCTACGATACCTGCTTAAAAGCATACTAACCAGATGATAATTTATTATCATGATGTATATTATGAGCACTTGCTTTTTAAAAAATTTCCTTCAAATTTTCATTAGACTAATATGCAAAATAGCCATTTCTTTTAACTCCAACCAACCAAAAACTTACATAATCACAGATTTTTCTACTGTTTTGTACTTCCAGGGGAAGAGACATAGGAGAGGAAAACTGAAAGGGATTTTCTTTGTAAATCTCCCAGGCCCCATAATGGAGTCCTTTTGGGCCTGGCCAAGTCTTTTACAACCATAATTCGACATGCAAGATTTGCATATATATATGTGTGTGTACATACACACATATATACAACAGATATATGTATATGTGTGTGTATATATATCTACACACATATGTATGTATATATATATCTTGCATGTCAAATCATATATATTACACACACATATATACATACATATATCTTTTTTTCAACCAACACTGCTTCCTGAGTGGAACCTTCGAAACAAGACCTTTGATTCTTCTAGAAACCTTGTTGGATTTTGATACAGGAAAGTGGGCCTGGAGTGAATTTTAGCCCCATAAGCACGGAAAAGTTAAATGACACTGCAGAGTAAAAAATAATTTAATTTGGGGGGCAATCAGAAAGGAAAGAAAGAGGAGGGGGAGAAGAGCACAGAGCCAACTAGATTATGAACCCGGAGCTCCCCTGTGATGGTGGCCAAAATGCATTTTAAGGATAGAGATGCCTAATACTCAACATAAACACTGCTGGCACTGCTGTATTACAAACCTCTTCTTTGCCTCCCCTTTCCTCAAATCTTCCAAAAAGCTAACCACAGGGGCACCTGGGTGGCTCAGTCGGTTAATTGTCTGCCTTTGGCTTGGGTCATGATCCCAGGGTCCTGGGATCGAGACCCACGTCAGGCTCCCTCTTCTCCCTCTGCCCCTTCCCCTGCTTGTGTGCACTCTCTCTCTCTCTCTCAAATAAATAAATAAAATCTTAAAAAAAAAAAAAAAGCTAACAATATCCACAAAGGCTTTATACAAACTCTTTGTTTCCTCTTTTCCATTCTTTCCTAGCTCCTGCCCAGCACATCTATCCAACATCTTCATCACAGACATCTCAACCATTCATTAGCACTTCACTGGATTGGTCCAAAACTAATTATCTTCTCTTCCCCATTTCTACCTTCAGTTGCTTTTAATCACTCCTTTTCATATCTTCCAACATTCTACTAGCTCATTAATGTCATCATCACTAAAGGAACAACTAATATTTACTCAGTACTTGTAACATGCTAGGTACTCTGCCAAGGGCATTTTATGCGTAATTTCATTTGATCCTCAAACCCTACTAGACAGGTACTATGATCATTTCCTAAATATTAGGAAACCAAAGCTCAGGATGGTACTTCTACAGGTAAACAATGGAATTCAACTTTTGTACTGACTTCACAGCCAGTTTAACCAGTACACTCCAATACCTCAAGTCAAAAAACCTAGGAATCATCCTCTCATTAATCATATCTAGTCACTTACCTAGTCTAACCAAATATACCTCCTCAATGCCATATCAGCTCTACCTCCGCTGCCTTTACACAGAATAACAACCAGCATCTAGCAAGTCCTCACTATATGCCAAGCACTATTCTTTTTTGAAGATTTATTTATTTATCTGAGAAAGCGAGAGCGCGCGCGCACATGAGCAAGTTGAGAGAGGGGAAAAGGGAGAGAAAATCCTTAAGCAGACTCCCCACTAAGCACAGAGCCTGCCTCTGGGCCCCATCTCAGGACCCTGAGCAGAAACTGAGAGTCCGATGCTTAACCAACTGAGCCACCCAGGTGCCCCATGACATTCTATTTAAAATTAGCAGCTTTGGGGATGCTGGGGTGGGACAGTCGGTTGAGCATCTGGCTCTTGGTTTTGGCTCAGGTCATGATCTCAGGGTCATGAGATCTAGCCCAGCGCAAGCCTCCCTGCTCTGTTTCAAGTGGGCTTGGAATTCTCTCTCTCTCCCTCTCCCACTCCCACCTGCTCCCCACTCACCCTCTCTCTCTAAAATAAATAAAATCTTTTGAAAAAATTAAAATAAAATTAGCAGCTGTGTATCACTAAGTAGATAAAGCCCAATTTTCTTAGTTTGGCACACAAAATCCTCCATGTTTCTGTCCAAGTCAGTTCAACAAGTATTTGAGTGCCTACTGCAATCAAGGCAAAGGGCTAAGTGCTCTGAAATGAATAATACACCAACCCCTGACTACTATTCCAACCCCAAACAATGCGCCCCTCAGCCAGAGTAACTACATGTGGATCTCATAATGCAACACCCTACGTTAGTCCCTTTGCCTAGAATGTACTGCGAAAATTCCACAGCAGTTTGAAGAGTTAAGTGCCTAGATGAGGTCCTCCCTAGCAAACTCCAGGCAGAAATGCGCCCTTTTCTAAGTCCCCACAGCACTTTATTCAAATTACTTTCAGGTAGCTAATGGAACAAGTATGGATCGCTTCCAAATAAGACTATGATCACCTCTGGGGAAAGAACTGACCCTTGCCATCAATGTCTGGGCATGCAGCAGGCAACAGGCACTCTACTACATGCTGAATAAATAAATAATGAAAATGTTCTAACTTTATGAGAAGAAAGAAACAAAATACATAATTGGGAGTGTTAACACACAAGTGGGCCAAATTAAAAGTAGTGTTACTGTACTTTGGTCCTGATTTGGACTACATTTTACTCCTCTGGGAAAACTCACATGTGGGACTTGGACAAACAAAAAGGCCAAACTTTGTTTTTCATGGCTCAAAAAAGCTTGGACAGGCCAGAAAGGATACTAGATCAAACAAAGTCCATTTTCTGAACGGTTGTGGAGATGGGAATCAAACCTGTCAGAGAAAATAAAACTGATCTACTGAGATCCAACTTCATCAGCGCTGCATCACACTACATGCAAGGGAAAAAAAAAATTTTAGGGGCGCCTGGGTGGCTCAGATGGTTAAGCGTCTGCCTTCGGCTCAGGCCACGATCCCGGGGTCCTGGGATCGAGTCCCGCATCGGGCTCCCTGCTGGGCGGGGAGCCTGCTTCTCTCCCTCTGCCTCTGCCTCTCTCTCTCTCTCTCTGACTTTCATGAATAAATAAAAAAAAGAAAGAAAGAAAAAATTTTTAAATCGGTCCTGGGAAGAAAGCCAATTGACATTTAAATAAGTACTACTGCTGCAAGAACGTGAAATTCTTAAAGTGAAGGCAGTTCCTATAAACCAGGGCTCGCAACTGGTTCCTCCTGCCACTGCTTTACACTCACCTTCGTTTCTGGTTTCTGTGATTTAAGGAGAAACATCTATACAGTTAAGCCCATGCCTCAGTGTACTGTAGCCCCTGGTAGATAAGAACGTCTTGATTCCTAACCTTAACAGCGAACTGAAATATCAGAAGAAACACTACCTATGCCAAAAGTCCTTGTTTGAAACATACGGCATGGAGCTTTGAAAGCGAGTGAGGTCCTTCCTGAATGGTGCTTTGTGTGCAACTGCTTCCAAATCGAGATCCATATTTTGAAATTACCTCCTTGAAGACCTGAGATCTCCCACCTCTCCAGCCTCAAGGGAAAGGTCAGAATTCATAGGCAACAGGCTGGAACGTTGGGTATCTCCCTATTCCTTTCCTGGAGGACAAGATCCGATGTAAGGTAGCTAGTGCCGCTCTCATTTACAACACACACACAGGAAATAAGAAACTCATCCCCACCTCTTCCCTCCTGGCAAAAGCAAACGACGCAAAGAGCAGCAACACTGTGGCCGGAACCACCAAATGGTAACAGCCGGGGGCCTCCCGCCTCCCAGGCGCCTGGCCGGCGGCGGGCACCCGGCTCAGGACAGCCCGCCCCTCCCTCCCCGGACCAGCGCGGCCAGCCCCACAGCGGGGCCGGGTCTACGTCCCCCACAGTCCCGGCGAGCGAGCAGCAGAGCTGCGGGGGTCTGCCGCCTCCCCCGGCTCGGCGCTGCCCCACACCCCGCCGACGCTCGCACCTGAGGCGGCTGCCCGGGACCCGCGACAGGGCGCGGGGCCAGGCGGGCAGGGCAAAGTTACTCACTGGGAAAGCGCGGCCGCCCGGGGCGCGCACCGGCTCCCAGCGCCGCAGCCCAGCGCCAGGTCCGCTCTCCGCGGCCCGCTGAGGGAGCGGGGAGCCAGCCGGCCTCGGCTCCGCCGGGAAACGCCGCCGCCGCTGCCACCACCGCGGATCTCCTGGCAAGAAGTAAACTCCGGCCAAGACTTCACTTCTCAACCGCCCCTGCTGCCTTCCCGGGGGCGAGCGCCGGGGCCGAGCCGCCCAACCCGACACGCACCTGGGCCAACCGGCTGCAGCACAGGGCGGGGAAAGAGGCGGGCCAGAGAGCGGCTCCACCTATCCGAGAGCTCAGGGGGAGGGCCAGGCCGGGGCCGTCACTCCCGGGTTAGAGTGAGCCCACTCCGCCCCTCGCCGCCTGCCCTCCCCCACGCGATCTCGGCTGTCCCTCCCGCCCGCCTGATCCCCCCGCGCCGCAGAAGACACGCTCGAGAAGTGGATCGGCGCTCACCGCAGACCGCCGCAAGGAGAGTGGAACAGCTGGGGGAGGCAGTGAACATCTAGGGGAATCGGGTTGGGAGTAAGAGAACAGGTGGCGCAGGAAAGCAGAAATATAGGTGTGTTGGGGCGAGAGGACTCTGGGGCAAGGTGCAGGGACGGGGACTGACCCGGCTGAAAAGGGCGAGGGGAGTAGGGGGTTGAGGACGGGGGAAGGGGGTTTTTAGCGAAGAACACCTTAGGCGACGGAGAGAGGAGAGGTACGAAGGAAAAAGGAGGGCGGGGAGCGAGTCCGGGTGGTGAAAGGTTGCCGAGGCGGGGGCAGAGGCACCTGGGAACAAAGGTGAGAGGGAGGTTCCGCAGGTGGGGAGGTTTAAGCCAAAAGGGTAAAAGGAAAAGGAAGTCCAGAGCAAGGAGTACGTACGTCTTACAGGTGTAGAAAAGATTCTAGGACAGAAAGGAAGGGGGAAGAAGAGCAGTTTCCTCCAAGCTCTCGCTCTTCCCCGCAAAGATAAAAACGAAGGTTTATTTTGACCCATTTGAGGTGTGCAGCTGCAAGATCGCGGATGACAAACACAATCTTAAATTCATCCTTTTCTGTTGTGAAATTCATCAAGGTGTATTGATCAACTATAGTTTAAACCTGTCATTCCCTGAACACCCGCCCCCCCCCCGCCAGGCTTGGGGTCCCGCCAGAGTAACACCGTGCCCCATGGGTCAAGCGGCATGTCTGAAAGAGGTGTGATTCCGCCCTAAGAAGGAAAGTGATTTGGGGGCCGCAGGTAAAGCCCCGCCCCCTTCGCCATCACCTGGCGGAAGGTGCCAAGGGCTGAACGCAAGCGCCCACAGGCGGGTCTCGGCCTTGATGTGAACCGGGAGACCTACCCCACCTGTCCTGGCTAGCTCAGCAGGCGGACTGGCTCCGGGTGCTCCAGGTGAGCAAGTCCAGCCTGGCCACCGCCCTCCTCGCGCCGAGAGCCTGGCCTGTGGGCGGGGCCTCCGGGCCGAACGTACACGCCCCGCCCAGCGGCTGGGCCTCGCCGCGCCGCTGCGGCTCCTCCTTCCTCCTTCCGTCCTCGGCTCCTTCCGTCCGTCGTTCCTTCCTTCCTGCTTCGCCTGCACGTTTCGCGGTATGGGTTAGCGCCTCCGATCCGCCAGCACCACTTGAGGATCCCGGAAGCCGCCCCGCGATGGAAGAGGACCAGGAGCTGGAGAGGTAACGGCCGTGGAGGCGGGTGGGCGGTGGGGGCGGGCGGGAGGAGCAGGCCGCGCCCTGCGCCGGGAGCGGGTGGCCGAGGGGCCGGTGGCCGATCGGGGCCTCCGCCTCCGCGGCGCGGTCGGGCCCGGCCCGGCAGCGAGGGCCTGGCTGGGAGGACAGGGGAGGAGAGAGAAGTGGGCGCCTGAGCGGGGAGAAGGGGCCCCGACTGGGAAGGGAGGGGAGGACATATGGATGTATATGAGTAGAGGCGCTCCGTACAACTAGGTGTCTTGGAGGGAGCACACGTTATGAGGCCGGAGTTAAGTCCCTAAACTGCCCACCCGAGTGAGAACAGCAGGAGTAAATAAAACTAAGGTAAGACCACGCACCAGGCCTCCGATCGCCGAGTGCTGGTATTGGTGCGTTCTGTCAGGCCTAAGCCCCTGTAACTGTGGCCCAACCTAACTCTGTAGATTGCTAATAAAGCGACTCTGTGCGCTCAGTTCTTTCTCCCTCCTGCTTGATTGACACTTCTCAGAATTTCCATTCTAGTTTATCCCCTACAAATGGAAACCATAGTGGGGCCTGCGCGATGATAATCTGCAGTCCCAATTTTTCAGATTTGTTTTTTGTATGCCTTTAAATACCCTTTCATTCTCTAGCAGAGCCCACCCTATTCTAATCCTATCCCTTTCTCGTGATTCTACCGAAAGAATATTTTAGGAAACATTTAAGTTTGTGCCCTTGTGGCCATGTGGACGGTCAAATGGAGTAGGGAAAAACTGGAGGCAATAATTAAATATTTACTGATAGAATATGTGGAGGCAGGAAAATAAGGGGCTAATACAAATAATTCTATGTAATTGGAATGCATTAGAGTAATATGTTACAATTGTGATATAGTAAATGAAAAGAAAAGCTAGTTACAAAACTATATTCAGTATGATCTCATTTTTATAAAAAATATGTGTGTAGAAAAATATCTGGATTGAAGACCTCAATGGCTGAAGGCGAGAGGAAGACAGCCCTGGAAATGGTCCAGGCAGCTGGAACAGATAGACACTGTGTGACATTTGTATTGCACGAGGAGGACCATACCCTAGGAAATTCTCTTCGTTACATGATCATGAAGAACCCGGAAGTGGAATTTTGTGGTTACACTACAACCCATCCTTCAGAGAGCAAAATTAATTTACGCATTCAGACTCGAGGTGCTCTTCCAGCTGTTGAGCCATTTCAGAGAGGCTTGAATGAGCTCATGAATGTCTGCCAACATGTGCTTGACAAGTTTGAGGCCAGCATAAAGGAATATAAGGATCAAAAAGCAAGCAGAAATGAATCCACATTCTAGTCCCTTATGCACTATACGGGGAGGACTATCCTCTAGGATATTCTCTTCGTGATCTTGCAAAACCCAGAAGTAGAAGTTTGTGATTACAACACGATCTGTCCTTCAGAAAGGCGTGCTTCTAGCTATGACCCATTACAGCTGTTGGAATCCCTGCAAGAACCTTTGTACTCATCTAATAAATTCCCTCTTTTATTTAAACTAATTTGAGTGGTTTCTGTTGCTTCATCTGGAAGATTGACTGTTTCAGGGGGTTTTTGTTTGTTTTTTTTTTTTCTTTTAATTAAGCCAACAGTGAAAGTAAGAAAGCTAGGAGAAAATTAGAGGCCTAGACAAGGGCTTTGATCAAGGGAATTCAAAAGAATATGCATTCATGGCTGTGATTGGGGGAGAGGGAGAGATGCAATAGAGCATGACCCCAGATACACTGTGGTTGGTTGAAAGAAAGAAAGAAAGGTGGAAGTGGGAGGAGGATTTAGCTTCTTGCTAGATATTTTTTAGTAAATCATGAGAGAATTACATCTTTTACTACGACTGGTAGGTTGGGCAAGGGTGGGGAAGAACTTGAAAGAATTGTGAGAATTCTGGTTTCACAGGAGAGTTAGGTAGGATCTAGCTCCATCTTTGTGGTGGCATATTATAGGATAGGTGCCAGTTTACTGCTTTAATTTCAGGACACTAATAAAATATTTTGCCAGAAAGGACCTAAGTAGGTCCAGAGAGTTTATATTATAAAAGGAGAAAGCTGGCATGACCAGGTAACATCTTCAGTCCTTATGTGGGTATCTGAGTATAGCCCACGGTTACGATAAGGATGGGGAAAACGAAATTTCCGTGTTGGGAAAAGATTTTTTTTAAACTTAAAATATTAGTGAACCACTTCTGAGCTGTCTTATTAATCTCATCAACCTTGTCTTATATTTGTCCTACCCCAACTTGGCTCTTAATTCATCCTAAATCTTTTGTCAACTTTGAACCTGAGCATCCCACCCCAGCACTCTGTGCTTTGGGGCCTTTGTTTTTGCTGTTCCATATTCCTGGAACACCCTTACTCTGCTCTGCCCTAGGGTACGTAAGAACTTAAGGTCAGACTCCCACCCTAGTTTGGGCACTTGTATGTGCTTTCATTTTACTCCTGCGTTTCCCGGTCTTGGATTTACTATGCTATTGTTAGTGCTTATATTGTCTACCCACTATACTGACTTGCAGCACGATGCCTGATGGGTAGTAGACAATTAGAAAATACTAGCTAAATCCATGTCGGTAGTTATGGCATATAACCTTTTATTCACTCCAATCAGACCTCCTCCTCCTAGTCTGGCCTAGAACCTATATCTCCTGCACTCAACTTCTTTGGATAAATATATTTCTGTATTTATTGAGCACCTGGTATATACCAGGCCCTGGGATGGAACAGTATTGGATGAGACACAGGTCTTGTTCTCCTAGAGCATACATACAGGAGTGAGTTGTTTTTTTGTTTTTGTTTTTGTTTTTTTGAAACTTGGAATTCTGTGAAAACATACAGGGTCAAGATAGAAAACATGAGAGGGCAATCAGCTTGTGGTATGGAAGTCAGGGAAGCTCTTCCAAAGATTACAGGAAGAGAAGGAGCTAACTGCAAAAAGGAGAATGTGTTTTGATGGAATAGCTGTGCAAAGGTCTTGAGGCGATGGTCTGAGGAATTAAAGATACTGAAAGATTTGCTTATCTGTAGCATGGTAAGCAAGAAGGGCGTAGGCTATGGATTCGGTGAGAAGAGAGTTGGGGTGGTAAGGGGTTTGGATTTTAAGTACAGTGGGAATGACATCTGAATACTTTTGAGTACAGTGAAGGGATGAATTCGAGAGGAACTCTTAAGAGTGTCATTGGCCTGGAAGGGCAGCAAGCTAGTGATGGACAAAAGAAGGTTGATTTGAAATATATTTTAGAACTGAATTGGTACAGAATTGGTAAACCTCAGGAATTGGATATGGAAGGCGAGGAGACATGACTCCCACTTAGTTTTGGGGCCAAAGTACTGAAACAGGAAGCTTAAGGGGAAAAATAGGTTGGAAAGTGGAAAAGGTAACTGGAATCAAAAGTTCCATTTTGAATGTGGTAGACAGTGGATATGTGAGTTGGAGGCCATGCACAACATCTAAGCTATAGAGAAACTTTGTGAGTTCTTGCCATCAAAATGCTGTAAATCCATAAAAACGAGTGTGATAAAAGAAGCAGGCCCAAGACTAAGCCCTTGGAAAGCTCAGCATTAAAAGTTAGGTATAAAAGTAGCAACCAGTGAGGTGTAGAAAGTAGAGTTGTG